GCGGTGATGCGGCGTGAGGGGCTCCCCGCTCCTCTGGGCACCCGCTAGAACCCGCTGCCCTCCAGCTGGCGTCCCAGAGAAACACGGGGGTAAACGAGAGCCGGCGCTGTCAGGGCCCGCAGGCCGGGCTTGCCCGCTCAGCACGGCCCGCAGCAGGGCCGGGAGGGAGAGGCCCGCCTGCCTCAGCACGGCCCGCACGTTCCTGCGTGCAAGTGATACTGATCCAGGTATACAGCTGTAATATACACAGCCTGCAATAATGCATAAAATAAAGAATATTAACACTTCACTGCTTGCCGTGGTTTTTGTTTTCATTCATGGTAATACTTTAGCTTTTTATTTCAGTAAGAAGCACAGAGCAACAGATCAGCACTCTTTCTGTCTCTGTCAGCATCCGGCCTTTGTTAGGAGATAGCGATGATTCAGCCACTGGGCTAATCTCAGATGCGACATAATCTTTGCTAGAAAGAGTAACATACTGCATTTTGTGATTAGGAAAGAGTGTATTCGTCATTGTCCTTAAATTATCTGTCAGGGAGCAAGGCCCTCCTCTTGGCCAGCGAGTCAGGAGCAATGAACTCTGGAGCTGTATGGAGAGGATTGACGCTACTGCTTTATGGGGTGAGTTGTCAAACATGAAACGTGGCAGCTGTGTACCTCAAGTACAAGAGATCAAACACGTTGCAATTCTTCATCTGCCTGCCATGGTTTCTCTGGCTGTTTTTTTTCCTCTTCCTCCTGAACAAACTGGACTTCTGGTATCCCTACCAGCCTTGGAAGCTTAATGTTCCTTCCTCATTTTTAACAGAGACATGCCAGTTGTGGCTTCCAATGGTTACTGCATGTCATACAAGTTAAAGATACAAGCTCCAGCAATCCTTTGCCATCTTAGGGTCTGAAGTGAATCTTTCTGATTCATGCTTCAAAGTTCTAGAGATTATGTTTTTCTCTTTACATCGCTGTAACATATAATTTTGCAGTTGGCTTAAGCAGAGAGTATTAAGACCATTATTATCACGTTAAGCTTGTCTCCCACCCAAATTAGTAACCTCACAAAAAGTATCTCACTGCCTAGTCATTGTTGACATTTGGAAGCAACAAGGTTTTAATTAAAAGTTCTCTTGATGATGCATAAATTTCCAAAATTCATTTTGATTTCCACTTCATTAGCTACATAAAGCTAATAAGTAGGGACAATAGAGGTGCAAGTCAATGACAGAAGAAAGTACCACAATACCTTTTCAGGACATGAACTACTAGGTTAAAACAAGACAGTAAGTTCTATAGACAATTTAAGCAGTAATTTTGTTTATGGTCATCTTTTCTCCACTTGTAGTCTCTTCAAGGAAAATAAATGTCATTGATGTAGAATTTATCCTGGTTGCCACAGCAGGTGTAGCTAGCAATTGTTTTATTCAAGGTGGCTTTTTTTTCAAGACTTCTCAAGATCTTTCCTTTGCTCTTATTTTTTCCTACCACAAATGTTAAAGAACTGCTTTTCATTGGGCATTTTGTTCCAAGAAACAGTCCTGGAAACTCAGCAACAGAGATTGACACAAAAAGCTTCAACTTTTCTCCTTTTCACATTATTTATTCTGTATGTACACACTTCCCTTTCTAATACAGAATTCTTCTGTAAAGGAATTCCGTGAAATTAATGAGAAACTGACCTAAAAACAGGGAAGCTGTAAGGCATTTAAAAATAAGATGAAAAAATAAGAATGATGCAGACCTGTACTTTGGAGTAGACAGTTTCTTGGATGCAAAGCAAAGGTTTTGACTTTCAAGGAGTCTAAAAAGCTAAGCAGTGAGTTTGCTTCAGAAACTCCTTCAGCTAGTGCTTGTAGTCTGCTAACTCATTGTTAAATTTGCAAGAGTAAGGGATATAGTTTTCAAGTAGTATCCAGGGAAGATTACAAGACTTGAGGGAGGATTCAGAATTTGGTAGAACTGGTCAAAACAGCTAAAGACTGAGGCAACAATCTGATACCTAGTTGCAATAAAGTTTTGTGCATTTTTTTTTCCTTTGTGAAAACTGAGCAGCGCTCATGAAGATCCCTTTTGCAGTGTAACACTGCTTATTATACTTTTTCTCAGTAGGACATAGGATTATTTCATCGTTTTTTCATCATGGCAAATCCCTGCTCCCTTGATACCATATTCTGGACCTGGGAGACTTCAGTGCAACAACTCACACTCCTGAAGAAAGCGGGTTGCTGTCTGCCCCTCCGGGTGCGTGCTGAATGCTTGGCCATGATTCCATCTGGGAAGTGCCTTGAGAAATCTCTGTCTCAGCATCAGCTGTGCATTGAAAGTTAATATGAGAAGCAAAGTTTAGCACAACATGTTAGCTAAGTAATGTGAAGCAGGTGAAACACAGGAATTCCATGAGGAAGGGAGTGATTAGTGCTGGATGCTGCTCTCCAGTCTGCAAGGGAGTGAGTGACCCTTGTGTCTGGGAGGAAGTGGTGCTCTTGCTCTGAAAAGTCATTTGACAGAGAGTGATGCAGGTGCAGAGGCTGCCTCTGACACCTCTGCTACTGATGCAGGAAGTTAGCTTTGAACTTCTTTACTGAAGGAGAAATGAAACACACTTGTTCTAAATAATTGGCCACTGTTCTTCAACTCTGAAACTCTTGAATAGTAAAAAATAGGTACAGTATTTTTTCCATGTACCACTTGTGAGACAATGTTCCAAAGAAAGATGTGCTGCTCTCCTTTTTATATGTGAATATTTTCTGTGGAAGCCTCCTGGTACCTGGGGTGCATGTCTCCTTTGAAAGTTACACTGCTGGGTACTAAAGGGAACTGAGCAAAGCTCGGTCTTTGTGTTTCAGGTTCTTTTGTCTCCAACAGGAAAGGCTGTAATTGGAATATAAATAAAACTATTTTTCTCCCTGAAATGAAATGTAGACTGCTTTGGCTATCTGACAGTAATTCACTTTCTGGGTTTCCACCTGTATGTGATCTAACTCTTAACTGTTAAACAAGAATTTTTCCATTCAACTGAAATACACCTTATATTCATGATTTCTTAACTGGCACTTTGAATACTTGTGATGTTTGGGGTTTTTTTCCCTTCTAATTACAGTTTCTAAAATTACTCCTATGAGCAAGAGTGAGTGTACTGTTGTTTTCTAAAATGAGGTCATTTTTTTTTTTGTTTTGGCTTAGATTGCAGCTCCACAAACAGTTGCATCAGCACTACTGATGAGTAAACTAGCAAAACGGTAGAAGCAGTTGGGTGAGAAAAATGACAGGAATCATTTGGGCTTTGCTACTGGAAAAAATTGTAATGTAGAATGTATCTTAGTTTCTGCATATTTTAATGGAAGTGATTTGTGAGAACAGATATGTTACATAAGTAAACTTTATATATATTTTTTTTTCAGGAAGCCGTTATTTCTTTTTATGTGCTTATGGTGTTTTTAGAAACACTGTGAGAAGCGGTATGCTCTTTGATTAGACAAAACCTGAAACCTTCTAACTGGGTTTCTCATAGTTCTTCTTTAATATTAGAAATGCAAACTGCATCTGGAAGACTCTAGAAGAGCAATAACATCCTAAGAGTTGTAACAAGTTCTGTGGTTGGGAAGGAAAGGTATTTTTTAAATTAATCAGTGGAGTAGACTATTTGGGATCAACTGGAGACAAACTACTGGCTGATGTCACTTGAAGGCAGAATTAGGATGTTACAGCCAGTCTGTGGCAAAATTTGTCCCTTTAGACAAAGTAGCTGCTACTTTCAATTGCTTTGGGCCAAGTACAGTTTCACTTTCTTATGAGTCCTTAGAATTAAAGCAATGTAATCTTAGAAGATCTGATTTGTATTTGCAATCAATAACAGCTGTAATATTTATGTTAACATTACAGTTAGTGCTGTGCTTCCTGGTATAAGGGCATTTCTCATATATATTTGAGTTTCTTTTGTTCAGACATAAAAATACAGCACTTGCAAACACTTAAACAATGCTTGTGCTAAATGCCAGAAAAAGTGGAACCAAATTCCCCAAATAATGAGACTTATTCCGTATTAAATACTTCTTAAAATTTTAATTTTTTTTCCATTCACATTTGCTTTTCTGTACACTTTAATTTTCAGTGACACACAGCAAAGTGGTTGTGAGTTTACAACAGCTCAATAAATAAGGTATCCTTCACTCCTACTATTTAAACATTTCCCTCTTGTTGGCAATGTCAAGTTTTCTGAAAATAGTCTTTGGAAGCGGGAGAGGAGGTTGTTTCTTGAAATTTGTTTGGGTCTAAATACCATGTACGAATTTAGAATCAAAGTAGCAATTTGTAAGGATAATGTTTTTCTCTAACAGGCATGAGCCACACTGCCAGCTGATGTTTCTTTAACCTGCTGCATCTGAGAGCATGTCTGGAGGGCTGGTATGTGTGGCTTTGATGACACACGGTGTCGTAACCTTTTGGGTGCATTCTGAGTGTGCTTTTATGAAGCAGAAACTTTTGTAGTAGACAGCATTGAAATTACATAATGCAACTTGTTGTAATTACTGGGTAGAGTGTTCAGGGAGCAGTCCCTGTAATGTAGTGTAATATAAAAGAATGCTCTTCTATCTATTCAAAAGGCCAGGAGAAAGAGACTGCTGTTTCACTTCTTAGAAGTACTGAGTGGCCTGGAGGTCACTTGGGTGCCTGTAAAAATAGGGCCTTTTTTAAAAAACACACCTAAAAATAGATTTGAAGTCTATTCTTAATCTCCTGAAAACCTGTCTTGTGATCTGTAATGTTAAATGAAACTTGCAGGATACTTGGGGGTTAGCATGTAGGATTCTCTACATATTCACTGCTGCTTTTTGACTGGGGTTTTTCTGAGCTTTCCAGGTAAGCATATCTAAGGAGGATGAGGAGAAATGCACATTGGTTTAGCCTTTCCTGGGCTCCTGCTGTCAGAAAACATGACCACTGCTTGTGCAGGGACATAGATGAGACCAGGCTATCAGCTTGTTTTGGGTGCACAGCTTTTCCTGTCAGGCTGAAACCCAGGCAGCTGTGGGGCTGCTGCTGCTGTCACGGCTCTGGGTTTGAGTGCTCAGCCCTCAGCATTCTTAGGCTTGAGGAAAGGGCACCCCATCCTTCTGCATTCTCTCCCTCCTCTCCTTGTCAGCATTCAAAATGCAGCAGAACTGACACCCTCCTCTGGAAGGAAATGCTACTCAGTTGAAAGTGAGGACAGTTTTCTGAACTGTTTAGGTTTCTAAAAGTCTAGCACTGAATTAATGCCATGCTGGAGCAGGAAATGACCGCTCCTATTAAAAGAGAAGGGAAGATGTCCTCTGGTTTTGCTCTACACGGTCTTTCATTTTCTTCTTCTCACATTTTTCTTTCATCTTTGCTTTATGCAGTTGTGTTTAAAAATATGTCATTTATTGACTATTGTTTTGGGGGTGTTGCCAGGTATGGCTGTGGATTTGGGGATTTGATCAAGTACTATTTAAGTGAATTGGATGTAAGGACTTCACTAGCTCTCAATGGAGATAAATTGAAATTTTTGCAGAGTTTGGAAGGACTGCTGAACATACCTCAGTGTTTTAAATTCTGTATGCTTGTGTATAATTATTTCAACACAAAATATTACAATTTCAAAATAGGAAAGTCTTTTTTTTTCTTCTATCTGTTCAGTTAAAATATGTAATATGTCAAGCACAGTAAGCCCTGTTAAGAAAAAGCTGGCACAGTTTAAAGTACAGCTATTGCAAATATAATTTGCCTTTTGCACTGTACTTTAACACTCATTAATTATGTGATAAGATTTAAAAACAGATACCCCTCCAATTTTTTTCATCAACCACAGGTAATGTGTAACACTGCTCTCTGTCCATTTGACAGTACAAGGAAAGAATGTCCTTGCCTTTATTACAGTTTTAATGAATGTTAGGAAATTATAAACCATTTGCATTAGTTACTGTGAATTTAATGCATCGTTAAGGTGTCAAGAGAGTTAGTTGCTCGACTCCAGCGCCTGTGAATTAAACAGTGATAATGAGACAATTGCTTAGAGTTAAGTTATAGTATTAATTATTTAGCTGACTTGTGATTAATATATTACTGAAAAGAAAAAATTTTACACATGTGGAAACACAAGTTTTATGTCAGCTTCCAATGTCGGCTTCCAATTTACTAATACTGACTAAAACAAATAAATAATATAAATAATTTCCAAAAAGAAACCTTACGTGTGATTTCATACTTTCTAGTTTCATTCTTTCTAGAATACTTTGAAGAAAAAAATATGTTGTCTTTTTGATTGTACATTTGTTTTTAAGGAGTGATACAATTGTAAATACAAGCAATTGCTAAGTAGCTAATAGTCAAGCCAAGAGCTTGTATAAGTCCTGATGATGATGATTATTATCATTATTATTATTATTTAACTGATGAATTGTTTGTAACTGCAATCATCATTAAAGAGTACTGTACACACAAAAGAAAAAGCAGGTTTGTTCCAACTGAAGAGTGGATATATTTGTGTGCCAGAGCTGACTTGGCACTGCAGAACATGGCACTGGATTGGAATGTTTTGATCTGTGTATGTGCAGCTACAGTTGTCCAGTTTCCCTTTAATTGTAAAGTGTCCACTTTCAGTGGTGAGTTTCCACTGGAGCATAATTTCCAAACAGAAAAAGAGGACATTGCCAGAGGCACTCCAGATGTGTAATGTCCCTTATTCAGCAAATCAGATGAGCAGGTGCTGAAATGTTCGCTCTTCAAGCAGTCCCGATAGAGTTATTACAGAAAAATGAGTATGTTTCAACAAAATAAAAGTATATGGGAAACACTGAAAAAACCACAACCAAGATGTTCTAATTTGTGTGTATCACAATGCAATTTTTCTGCAATTTATTCAGTTAGACAATGTATTTGGTGCAATTCACAAAGTGACTTTTCAAATCCACTCAAAATGTTTGCATGATACATTTTCATGGTGAAACTCTTCCACCTTAGCATTTTTAAATATCTATCTATCTATCTATCTATCTATCTATCTATCTATCTATCTATCTATCTCTATACATCACACATATAGAATTAGGATTAATTTTGTATTTTCTTTATTTTTAGGTATTCTTGGGTTTTACAGTCAGTATTTTTCTAGTATTTGTCTAATCAGTAAGGTGTGGTGTTGAATATTGTCACTGGAAGTAGAAGCCTAAACAAAATTCCTCACTTGATTTGAAAGGTAAGCTTTCCTTCCGTACTTTAGCACTGCTGTATTTGTTTTGTAGTTTCTTGACTTTTTGTATGTTTTTACCAGGACTGCTGTCTGAAATCTTAGATTTGAAAGAACAGTATAGAGCATGATATCCTTCCTATGACTAGAATTGTCAAAGGAACAGAAATATGTCTGTATGAATTAATATACAGAACAAGGCCTTGGGAGGGGAACTACTAGAGCTCCTGATATCAAAGCAAACTAACAATTAAATCCTAGATAAGAATCTACAATAGTCCAAATGCAGAATTAGAAAATAATCACAATACTAACAAGTAGCAGTGCTAAAAAACAGGGGCTTTGCTAGAATTCATTATTAGTAATAAAGGAAAAATTAATAATACATTCTGGACCTAAACTGACAGAATTAAGACAAATTATATTTATTTTTGAAACAATGTATGATACCACTTTAATATCTATCCCCAAATATTAAATCAAAAAGTTTTAATATTTAAGAAATATCAATTTTAAAGTCATATTCTCTGAAAAATATGTAATTATTACAAATACTATTGACTACTGTTTTTGAGAACTATGTGGAAAACAATTTCTTGCTTTCTTATTCAATTTTTTAAAATAGATTTCAACAGCATTTAGACATATATATAAAGTGAGTCTAGCCCAGGTTTTGTTGTTTCCTTGTGTCATCAAGCTGTTTTCCTTCCTTGTTTCCACAAGGCTTTTACAGATCAACAGAGGATCAAAAAATCACTAAATGTGATAGAAAGTTTTCTGAAAAAGCTAGAAAAAATTAACAAAGTATTCAGAGGGAATTATATTATCTGAAGAAGCTATTTGACCTGTTCAGGCTAACACATCTGCCATTAAAATATCCTTACAAACCATTGTCTCCACGCTGTGGTGTGTGCTGAAAGAGGCACAGTGACACACTGTGCAGCTGCTAGGGCATGTGCCAAAGTTTAGACTGGGCTAAGCAAGGCTTAGAAGCTGTCTTTAGAATACAGATGAGTGATGCCATCCAAAGCACGTGCTCTATCTTTTTACCTGAATGTCTGATGCTACCACATAAAATAAAATACCATGTATCAACAAGCACTGTTTGTTCTGCACTCGAATTATGCTGATTTTAATTCCCTTCAGTCAGAACGTTAAAACCCGGATTGCTTTCTGACCCTCTAGATGTTGAATTATTGGGAAACATTTTGTTTGGTTTTAGCACTGCTTGGCACCAATTTTATTCTTTCTAATTGTATGCCATTACAAAGTACATCTTCTTCCATTTTCTGCTGTTTTGACATCATCAAATTCTAGTCACTACCCTGTTCTACTGTTCTTGTTGCTAAGAGCCTTGACTCACAAAGCAAAAGGAAATATGTGCATATGAAGAAAAGAATCTGGTATTATTTCAAGATTCCTCCTGCTGTTTGTGGTGTGCTTCATGTCAGAGATTAGGGAACCAAGAAGTTTTCTAAATCTCAGAGCTCTCTGGGTTAAGCCTTTGGGAATGAGATGCTTTCTCTAGACCTTTCTGGTTTGGAGATCCCAAAGATGCACCCAGTTACAGCTTTGTTTACTAAAGAGCCAAGGACACATCTAACAAAGCTGCAGTACTGCCTGAGAATTATCCTCCTTTGTGCAGGCACATCAGAGGGAAGAAAATGTGCAGAAGAATGTGCGGTGGGCAGTGAAGGAAGCCAGGGGAGGATAACTGTGGGGAGGAAGAAAATAAAGTGACAGAAAAAGAAAAGGTAATAGTAAAATAGAATACAAAAGTAGAAGAGGGGAAAAAAAGAGGAGACAGAATGAGAGAAGACAGAATGACCTGGAAAAGAAAAAGAGAGATGGCGTCCTGTGAATTCTGTGGATAATAGTCAGCACATCTGTCTTAATATGGTTTGATGTCTTGTCATAATGCTGACGTGGTGCATCAGTGTAGGGGTTTCTAGTGCAGCATGGTAAGCTCACAATGTGCTGTTTTACAGGTCCTCAGTGGCTTCTGGACAGTTCTAATCAGGACAATAATACCAATGGAGAGGGTAATGCTGCAGGTGAGGTGTAAATAGATGGAAGAGACAGGGTGTGATGAGACACATAAATGGAGAAGACAGAAAAACTGGAAGAAGACTGAAGAAGGGCCAGGAAGAGGTTCATGAGCAGACAGCTTTCCAGAAACAAGGCTTTGTTCTCTTATGGACAGTAAGTACTACTGGCAGAAATGCTCTCTCAAGTGGGAGGTGACAGGAGCTGGGAAAGTTAAACTCACTGACCTCAGATGAAAAATGGAGTGTGTGTTTAGAGGGAATAAACTAAAGCAGGGAAAGGAAAGGTACATTATTACCTAAAAATGTGGTCGGGTATGTTACAGTGACCTGTGCTGGAAAGGTGTGACACTCATTCTGCAGCACTCATCTGAGTAGGTGTAGCACAGTATGCATCAACTCACAAAATGTGTCTGCTGTTTGTAAAGCCAAGATAACACTTTCCCTTCAGGGAAGCATACAGCTCAGCCACTGTTAACTGGGTACCTGCAGGGTGTTAAAAAAAAAGCCCAAAGCATACAGATTTGTTCTTTGGTCTATGTAAATTTTCTTTTGAGAGGGAGGATTTTTTTAGAAATGGAGTATTTTGTTTTCTTTTCCATTCACCATTTTCCTGCTTTTTTTCAGGGTTTTTTTTTTTGACCGAAACAAAATTCTGATCCTTTCTTTTCAGTCTTCTCTTTTCAGTCTTGGCCTTTCTGAATTAAATGCTGCAATATTAGCTGCCTGCAGTTCCTGTGATTGGACTCCATGGGTGGTCCGAGTAATTTTCAGACAATGGAGCTGGTTCTTTTCTCACTCACACCACTGTAACTCATTGGTTTCAGTGAAGTTACTCTTGATTCACAGTGTTCTGAAAGAAGAGTTGAGCTTGCTCTTTCATATGTTCTTTAATCTCCATGATATTTTTGCTTACATGTATAATTGATTTTCTGGGAATATATCCTGCTGCTGGCAGGTAGACCTAGGAACTTCCTAAGACAGAAATAAATGTGAGCACTTTTTAGGTCACTGAATTCAATCCACTGCTTCTACAACACCATGTTATATAATTTCTTTCATAAACTGCTCAGGCTTTAAACATTCATTAGGATCTATTCTTACTACAGTGGGTAAATTCAGACAGAAAGATTAGTTACGCCCTGTGAAAATTTAAAATCACAACTGAAGTAATCTTCAAATGCTTTAAAAGTATTTTTCTTTCTCACCTGTGTCTCACTTTTCAGTACAGCAATCATGATAAAGGTTCATTCTTGGCAGAAGGAGGCTCAGCTCTGGGAAAGCACGATTCTGAAATTAAGGGCATACTTTGGAAAGGTTACTGTGTATTTTTCTTTCATGGTCACATCCCTCTTGCAGATTTTAGTGTGAGCAGTCATCTGACAACAATTTTTTACCATACTTGAAGCGTCATTCTGTAAGTAATTCCAGAAGGAGAAGGGTACAGAACAGGTGTGTGCAACTCAGCTGGGGATAGATTACTGTAGACTTTGACTTACTTTTCTTGGGCTGCCTTCCAGGTACTACCCTGTTGTAACAAATCCCATCCATTTTATCCAAATTTGCTCTTCATTTATGGAATTAATGGGTTTAATTGACATGAAATTGAAAATCATCAATACAATCAAGAAGTTTTATTGTAATTTAAGGACAGCCCTGTTTTTCTCTTACATAGTATAAATGATTCAGCAGAAGCCAACACAATTATGCTGCTACCTGAAAATGCTATGATATCTCCCTGTGCTCCCTACCTTTGCTTTGCATATATGTTAATATGGAATGTACTCTTATTTTTTGCCTTGTGTGGCTAAATCTCTGTTCTGCAGCTCACTTTAGCAAGGCCTTTGCCAGTACTTCCCTTCTGTTCTGAACCTTGAACTACAGAAGTTGCAGCTGTTACCCAGGAAAATTCTTGGCAGTTGCCATTTAGCAGGTTTGGTTTGCAGCAGCTGGAAGATGGTGGCTGCACACCACAAGGGAGGGAGGAAGAGGTGTATTAGTTGTGAAAGCCAGATTATGGTCACTGTACAGCAGCCAGCTGGCTGTGATACTGCTCTGGTGGCTCTTTATCCCACCCTCTGGCTACTCTGTTTCTGATGCAGAAAAAAGTGCACCAGTTGCATCATGCAAGTACAGTAAGCCTTGTAGTTTTAGGACTTACTGGAAATGCTCAAAGTAATTGTGTGGTCTCTTCATGCAACCCTTTTTAGGAGTGGTAGAGCACTCCCTTAGTTTTGTTGCATTACACATTATATTATACATTATACATTACACATTATACTATAGAATATAGGCCTGTGGTGTTTGCTCTGAGGTCTTTGGGGTTGCTGAACATGGGACATCCAAGGTTGAGATGTATGCAGTAACATAATGAGATTATTAGATACCAAGAATCATAGACATACGCAGTTCTCAAAATCTCCCTGGAAAACAATTCTGGTTGGAAAAGAAGACACACGAACAATCTAAGGCAACCTGGATATGGTAGCTGTATCTAACCATGTCTACGCTCCTCCTTTCTACTGCAATGCCTTCATGCTTCCCCATAGCTAATTCTTTTTTATTTGCCAATTTTCTTTGTCTGAAGTGTGAGAGGTACCCTGCTGTGTGCTCTTGTGGAGAGCAGTTGCCAGTCAGGAATCCTCAGTGCATCACCATTCTCAGCTTTACAGTCAGCAGCTCTCAACCCAGCACATATTATGGGGCTGTTGAAAGAGGCCATTGCCTCTGGTGACAATCTGCTGCGTGCTCAACAACGTGCTGATCTCAGGCCAAGGAGAGAGCAGCGAGGCAGGACAAACTTGTTTCTTTCACCTACGCAGAACACTGGGCCAAAGGAATTCTTTGGTAGGCTGTGTGCTACACAGGCCTGATACAGAGGCTTGGGGAGAGTCTGGTTTGTCTTCTAGATGCTTCCTAACCTTTAAGTGCATAATGGTGGTGGATTGTTTTGAGGCTTAGAGCTCTGATAAGTGGTCTTTGACAGAGTTACCTGTTCAGTTTAAGACATTACTGCTCTCAAGTGTCTGGTTTACTCTGCTGTTAGGCATTATCACACTCTTACGGTGGAGACTCCAGGTCACAGGCTGGAATGTTTAAAGAACATACTACTTTCATTGTACTTTACCTACTTTCATTGTACTTTCTACTCTCCTAGAATGATTATGACCTCAGGCAGTTGAGAGAAATCATATCTTAAAACACAGCAGATAAATCTGCCAGAGCTTGCTGTTCAGAGCCTTTGGCCTTTGCTTCTTGAGAGGAAACCATGAGAGGAAAAAGTCCTTGCCAGTGCCTTCAGGCCCAAGGACAACCATTCATGCCTTTAGTGCCACTGCAGGTCCTCTGTCACCCCAGAAGTCTGCTGCTCGTCCATATGGAGTACTGGTGTCACAGCTGTTAGCTGTTACAACTTAAAAGAGCAAGGAGTATGTGTAAAGAAACTTTGAAGTCACTGATACTGTATTAAGCAAAAAGTGAGGGCTGTTCTTTGGGTGGGGAATTAATGAAGAAAAAAAAAATCACTTGGAATTTTTATGGTTTATGTCATCTTGAAAGTGGTTTATGATCCCACCATGCAGATCTTAGGATTTAGTGGCTGTTCTGATTCACTGAAAATTGCAGATGTAGTAGAAAATAGGTTGAAGTATTCATTTATATCAGTAATGATAAGGCATCAGAGTAAAGCATGACATTTTAATCTTAATTTCACTAAGAAATTAAGTGATTGTGTTGATATTGTGTTGAAATTATATTGCTGTCTTTATTTGTCCATTTTTTTTTGAAATGGTAGGAGGTTGAAAGCAGGAACTGGATCCCCTTCACTTGTCTGAGGACGTTTTGTAAAATTTTGTTTACAAAAATCAATTCAAAAGCTGGTCAGTCATAAAACACAAGTCCACAGGAAATCAAACTTCAGTATTTCTGATGTTTACACAAATACCTGGTAGTTGGTTCATGCCCAGCAATGGAATAGGCCAAGCTGGCTGGAAACAGTTAGAGAGGCTGGCGGTGTGCCTTGCCCACCTCCCACAGGTTCCCACTTCTGCAGCAGGAATGGCTCAATGCCTCATTAATCAGCACCTGGGTTTCTGCGATTTGCAGACTGGCGCATTAAGACAAGCCAATCTGTTCAGGCTTAAGCCACAGCATTCCTGCTGTGGGAGATGTCTTGCAAGAGAGATCAGTGTACACAGTGGGGCAGATGATTGTCAGCTGCAGCTTAAACTAGAGGGTGAAGTATATATTAATACCTTCATCATTATTTTGTTAGAAGAGAATTTTTAATTTATTGATCAGAAATCACTAATGGAAATGTAAAGTTGAGGTGGTTTAGGATGTGGATGATAGCAGAAGAATGCCAAGAGGAACAGTCATGAACATTACATTTTCTAGTTGGTGAAAGACTACATCTATCATATTTAATTTTGTCAGCATAACTTTGCTTATGTTTTTCAACACAACAGCTTAAAAACAAAATTAAAAAACAATTTGTCATAAATCACAGCACTGAATTTAGTAAATAGCAAGTATTGGCAATACCTTTTGTCTCTAGGATGGGTGTGTTCCCCATGACTGCTGTACAGTTCTCCCAAGGAGTGCATAAATGGATTCCTAGGGCACGAGCGGTCACATCAGCATTTTTTCCCGTGACATATTTCAGACAACCGGGCTGTGTAAGTGAAGGACGCAGTGATTAAATGCTGCTGGGAGGTGAGGCGCTGTGCCGGACTGGCCTTTAACGTGCCCCAGCACACACACCAGGTACCCTGGGCAGCGTTCAGGGCCCGTGTGCCCACGCTGGCAGCTCGCAGTGGCAGCGCCGGTGCCCGGCGGGGCGCGCTGAGGAGCCGCAGGACGGTCCCGGGCCATTTCCGTGGCTACCGAGCCCC